AAAAAACATTAAAGCAAATTCTTTTATACTCACTGGTCCATTCATGTACAAATGCAACTGATAAAGGGGACAAGACTTGGGATCTTACTCCTACACGTTTCTAATTTTGCAATAAATGACAATTTTGATTGTGTTCCATCACTCTGGATCATTATATACTAGTTTGATACACTATGCTTCTCACATTATCTCCCTTGCACAAAGTAACCCTCTACTAGATAGAAAATTTTTATCATTTCTCTCTGAATCACAATGTTCAAATGCTTAAAATCCAAAAGGAAGAAAAACAAAGGGGAAACCTCCACTCTTGCACTAAAACCACCCTGTGGAGGACACATGAAACTTGGTTCAATGGAGACCAGGAGAAGATGAATCTCTTTATTCAATAGATGAGCCATAAGCAAGCGAGTATACCCAACATTCAGAAGTTTCCATGGCTGGACAAGGAGAATTTCAGAGGCTTACCAAAATTGCTCCAACACCAGCGACTATAAACCTTTCTAAAGCCAAATGGTATAATCTGCCCTGACCTATTAAGGTGTTTTACACTAATTTATCATTTGAAGTATCAACCTTTAGGTCACACGTGAAAGGTGTGGACATTGAGATAACTCTAGCTATATGGAAACAAGTTGTTGGACTAAAGAATGAGGTTGTAAAAGTGACGAAAGGGTACACCTCGGATATTCAAGATTTCAACAAAATGCAGTACCTCAAGTTCTGTAAGAAGAAGAAGGAAGACTTCATAAGAATCTTCAATGCTGGTAAGCTACGATTGGAACAAAGGCTACTTGCTTTCATTATACACTAGTAGCTCACACCCAGGGGAGCCATCATACTTTGTTAAATGAAGGATATTTTGCTCTAATGTACTGCATCCAATACAAAATAAAGGTAATTAGATCTTTGTCATCAAAGAACACATGATGAAGGCCAAGAGACTGATAGATTTTTGTTACCCTTATGCCCTGCTTATTTCAAAATTTACGTTGTATTGTGGTATTCACACTGATGATGAGTTAGTTGAAACACCAAGATGGGAATTGTTGAGATTGAAAATAGTTGGGTTCCTAAGGAGGACGTTGGGCTCGATGGTGTTGAAGAAAAACAAGAAGAAGAAGATCAAGGACAAGGTGTTGGTACATTTGGTATTGTTGAAGAAGGCGGAGATGAGGAACTGCGCCCCATGGAGATGATTCCTTACACGACGCAACTAGACCGTGGTACTCCATTATCTCAATTCGAAGCACCATGCTCTATCAAATGAATGCATTGCATAAGGGGGACAACATAGGCATACAGAGATGACTTTTGCAGTTCAAGCCAAGCAATAAAAATTGTATGAAAACTCCATTGCCAAGTTTTAGCATATTGATAACCCAACTGGATGATATATATAATTGGATTAGTGATCTTCAATTCAATCAGGGCCCACGAGGAGACTAATGTTTATCTTTATCTTATAATCTGCTTGATTTCCATTTTTTTTTTCTGTTATTTTTATCTTGTTTTCTGGACTGTACCTAATTTTGATTTTTATGACTAGAACAATAATCTTTACTTCTCTGAATTCAACTTATATTAACGTCCTGTATTGTTAAAATTTTTATTCTTTCTTTTGATGAAGTCAAAAATGAGAAAAATGTGATTGAGTGATTGTTTACTATGATTATACATTTCACACACACATCACACTTTACTTGCATGTGTGTTTTGTAGGAATAAGATCAATGGGATATTTGTCTTCATCGATTAGATGAACATGAAGTATCTTGATGAATATGAAAAACTTTGTTACCTTTGTGTGTGTCTGGAATACATAGCATGTAAGCAAAAGTTTCTTCATAATTAATCATTTACTAAGTTAGATTAAAAGCTTCATAAAAAAAAATATTCTGGTTTTTAGAAGAGCTTGATTGGTCAAAATGTGTTTTAATCCATTAAAATGTTCTAGGTCCACATTCTTTTAATTGATAAAAATTTAAATTAATCAATTAAAATGATTAAAACTCAAGACCCATGTATACTTTGATGTTTTAATTAATTAAACTATTTTTTTCATCTGTTAAAATATTCTTGGTCATGATTGATGAAAATGTTTGATGAAAATGTTTTTTGAAAAATTAATTTGCTAAAACTTCATTTATTAGCTAAAGTGTTCGGTTGATATAGCCTAAAACTTAGTGTTTTTTGAAAAGTTTTGTTTTAACCGGTAAATTTGATTCTCATCCATTAAAATAACTCAACGTAGAGATCTTTGAACACTCTATTTTAATCCATTAAAACTAGTTTTATCAATTAAAATAACTTATTGGAATCAACATACTTTTCTCTATTTTAATCAATTAAATAGTTTTTTTATCAGCTTAAAATAATTTAAGTCACTTAGAACACAATTTTGATGGAGGTATTTTAATCTATTAAAATTATGAAATAACCCATTAAATGAAGTTTAAATTAAATTAATTGATTAAATTCGGGAATTAGTCGATTAAAATAGTTAAAAAGTTACATATAATAGTTTTCTCTCTTTTGTTTTAAAGAGAGCAATTTTACCAATCATTCAAGTGATCCTTGAGTTTTTGAGATAGAAATTGCCCAAAATTCTCACAAATATTTTTCATAATGTTTTTTAGGCATTCAACTCATACCTAGTGTAATCAAGATGTGTTCTTGGAAGTTAAAAAGCTTCTTACTATAGATAGGTTATAATATCTTGGCTAGATTTGGCTATGGATGGGGTGTAACTCAAAAATTGGATGAACCAGTAGAAATTCTTGTATCTGATTTTTCTATCTCTTTGGTTGCAATTATATTGTTTTGGTTTCTTTACATTCAAATATTTGTATCAATTAATTGTTGCAAAAGTTTGTTTTAACTTTAATAATTTGGTTTTCAAAAGATTTCAAGATTCAATTCATCCTCTCTTCATCCGTCATTGTTTCTAACATATATACATTGATGTTGGCTGGGTTGGATCATTCGAAGATAAATTATCAATATCGGGTTACTGAATATTTGTTGATGGTAATCGTGTTACATGAAGAAGCAAATACGTGATTTCTTGTTCAAGTGGAGAAACTAAGTATAGAAGTTTGACAATCGGAATTTAAGAAGGTTTATAACTAAGATTTTTGTTGTAAGATCTTAAATACCCATCCACCTAACATATTAAACAATATTGTGAGGATAAAGTTGCTTGTAATATTATCCATAATATAGTACAACATGATCAAATGGAAAACATTGAAGTGGATAGATTTTTTATTGAGAAAAAATTATAAAATTGTTTATGATTCATTAGGAAGAAAGTTAGTTGATATCTTAACAAATACCGTCTCTAATAAAAGTTTCTCAAAATTCATCAAGTTGGGTATATAAGATTTATATGTACCATTAGAGAGAGCATTGAAATTTACTTTTTTTTATTATGTTTGAAAAATATTATTGTACATATTGTATATTATTTAATTATGATGGATATAATTTTAAAATATTTAGTTTTAAGCATAATTTTATATCTTATAAATAATTTATATATTTTTTATTTCATATAAAAAAATAAATATATTTTAATTTATATATATATATATATATATATATATATATATATATATATATATATATGTTTATATTATAATGAATCAAATGAATTGATTCACTCATTCCTATGTAAAATAATAGTCACATATTTACTCTATAATCTCATAATTTATTTATTTAATTAGACCATTAGATTATTAATAATATATTACAATTACTATATATTGTATATTTAAATATTTATATGTAAAATTATGATATATATTATACTACGAAATTTACTAAGGAAACCGTAGTCAACTTTAAATGTTTCCTGTTTTTTATTGTTCCCTAAATAATATTGCGGAGGAATAGTTCTCTTGTAACTTTTTAATATTTGTTCTGTACTTCCGATACCGTATATTTTAGCAAATTAAACTAACTAAAAGTCTTGAAATTGGAGGATTTTTCCCAGAGTATTCAATAATGTTATTGTCCATTGTCAATTTAAACAAGTCCTTTAGTAACAACGGGTTTGGATAATTTTTTTCCTGACTTCACAAAAGACTTTAAAAAAACACCTTTTTTAATTAACTACACACAATAAACAATTGTTATATAAATCACAACCACGACGGAATCAGGCATTCAAGTCCTAAACACTTGAGAAAAATGTTGATTTAATTGTTTTCCCAAAAATAACATGACAAACGAAAAGTTTCTTTGTATTCAATTTTTTTGTACACAAAGCATAAACTAATTTATGTTGTACGTTCCTAAAAAAAGAAAGTTTTGGGGAGAAAAAAATCAGTTTGAGACATGAAAATATAGGAAAGGACACGAGAATGATAATGACCAAAATATTAATCCCAAAAGCCTTAGGCCTGATTCCATGCATGTTATGGACTAAAAACACATTTTTTTCTCATTAATTTTTTCTCGTAGAAATTTGTCTCACAAGGAACGTCGTACCTGAGATGCTTAACCATATCATATCTATCAATCACTTGCACAGTCGCCTTATCCTCTACGGCCAACTTTCCCAATCCTCCAACCTCTCAGCCCTTAATTGATCATTACAGAATAATCAATAAGGAGAGAACATATTGCAGAGTAGCCACTCTGTTAAGATTCATAATGGCATATTAGCATATGAATCGATTTCACTCCGAGTTCATGAATGAGTGCTAGGGGACGAAGGAACATAACTTTTACATTGAACTTTTTCTCTAGTTTTACAGATAATACCACACTAACTGAGGAAATACTATTTAGGTACAAAATACTTCCTATACATAATGTACATAATACTCATTAACCAGACAGCTTGAGGACCAAGATGTACAGCAACCTAATTGGCGTGGAGAGTGAATACTACCAGGCTTTGGTTTCGAGTGAATACTACCAACTTTAGGTTCCGGTGACATAGGGGAAATCAATTCAGTTACATGAAACTTTACATGAAGATTACTGAACATTCAAGAAGAAAAGGAAGCTTCCATTGCTTGTAAAATTGAGGCAGTATCAAATCTGAAATTCCTAAAGCTCTTCCCAGGCCGCACATCAGGGGTGTGAGAATCAGATTCAGGTTTTGTTGGCTGGCTATCCATTACAGTGGAGCTACTTCCAATAGAATTGTGTTTTGCTTTCCAAACGCATATTCCTTGAGATAAGTAACGGTTTATTAGCATTCGTAACTAATGTCAGAAAATGTGTAGTTCGGAAAATGTACAAGTATCAAACTAGGCCTGCATTGCAAGACTAGATTTGAAATAAGTAACATAATTCAAGCTCATCATATTTGATTTTCCCTTTGAATCACTTGACAAATCCTGTACTGACAGTCCTTCCCTGCATGAAATCTGCACAATATTGTAGCTAACAAAATGCAATACTAACACATCTAACTTCTAAAGCCAAATGTACTCAAGTTTAAAATCAGTGGTCAAGATTAGGTGCTGTAAAACTGCGATGCAAATAAAGTACTATGTAGTGCAACATAATGAGAAATTAACTCATCCCAACATAACCATGAATTAAGTGTAACTAAACTTCACCCTATGACATCATGCATTTACAATATAACTTAATGGTATTATAGCCAACCAGTATGTTGGGTGAATAGGACCAACCTTTAAGAGGCAAATCAGGCCTTGGAGCCATAGCAGGCTGGTGTGTGGAAATCCATGATTTCAATGATCTGCATGAAGGCAGTGAATCTTTTTAAACTTAGACAATAGATGGGGCAGTCACTGAAACTATCAAAATGATATGCAGTTGTACTCACGCCAGAAAAGGGGCCACCATATAAAGCTTAAGGCCAGTGATCCCACGAGATATCACCTCATCACTTGCTGGTTGAAGGTCATCAAGCCGGTGCCATGAAATTTCCTGCACAAATAACAATTTGTCAGTATTTTAATCACCTACAGTTGTGCATCACGTGATGATAACTCTACCATGAAATTTAGAGTTCTCGTGTTGAAAGTTCTCAGATACAATACATTCAATTAATATAAATTCAGAATTCAGAGTAATAAAGATTCAAAATAGTAGAAACAGTATTAGAATCATTACTTCCTAGTATTATTATTAGACTTAAGTATAGGATGTTGAGTATGGGAAACCTCCTCCAGCTGTATTTAGATCTGCATCTAGGATCCTAGTTGCAGTCTTTTACTTAGTCTTTTATGTCTTATTGTATCATATTTCCATTATATATAAAAGAAAGGAAGAAGGGTCTCATAAGCCCTGAAGATATATTTTCTTCTCTATTAATCTTAAGTTGGTATCAGAGCGAGTCGATCCCACTCTGGTTTTTATTTGGTCTTGTCCACCACCATCAATCACTGCTGTCCGCGGCTGTCCACCATTAGTCACCGCTGTCCGCTGCCATCCAAGCTCAGTTTTATCACTATCTGAAGCTATTCTCTGCTCTGTTGAACTGTCCAACATTGTCAAGCAACTATCTGTCGCTGTCCGCCGCCGCAGTTTCGTCCGGAAACCACCGGATCTAGGTCGCCTCTCCGAGCGACAGCCAACCCTATCGGTGCCAAAGGGAGACTCCTCACGACGTGCCGCCACACGCTCCATCTCCCTATGGCTTTCAAAAATCTTCACTGTTTCGCGTATCTGCTCTTTGTTTTTTTTTTTTGTCCTCTTGATCAGAAATGACAACTGGAAGTGCTATTTCATTCTCTATTTCATTCTCTGGAAGTCCTTCCATTACTTCCGAGAAGCTAAACGGACAAAATTACCTCCCTTGGTCCGCTGCCGTCGAGATGTGGTTTCTTGGCCAAGGACATCATGACCATCTTAAGAAAGACCGAAGCCATGTGCCTGAAGAAAAAGCCGAAAAGTGGAAGCAAGCAGATTTTCAGTTGTGTGCCCTGTTGTGGCAATCTGTGGCAATCTGTGGAGCCAAGACTTTTAATGTCTCTTAGGGCCTTCAAGACATGTCACTCTTTTTGGAAGAGAACTCAAAACATATATGCCAACGATATCCAACGCCTTTATCATTCGGCAAACAAGCTAGCAACTCTGAAAATGACCAACCATGATATGATCTCCATCATGAATGAAGCACAATCAGCCGTAAAAGACCTGTGAATGTTCTTGGAGATCGACGCTTCAGATGAAATGAAAAAGAAGCTTGACAATTATTATATGGTGATGATTCTTCGCGCTATACATCCAGACTTCAATCATATCATATCAGATATCAGCTTCTGACCTCTCATGAAGTCCCTTCCATGCACACCTTAATCCAATGCATGGTTCGTGTTCCAACACATGGAACTATGGAAACCCTTGTTCTAGTAAAACCATCTATTATAGTCGCCACTCGAGGAAGAGGAGGACGTGGAACTAGAGAAGGCAGACGTGGTGGTCGTGGGCGTCCTCAATGCACATATTGCAAAAGGATGGGTCACACGCAGGAAAATTGTTACTCCTTACACGATTTTCCTTCCAAAACAGTCAATTCTCTCAGGTTGAAATGACTGAACCCAAATTCACTGAGGACGAATATCAAGAGTACCTACAACTCAAGTCCAATAGCTTGGCACAGCCATCTCAAGCTCCAAGTACATCAACAACTTGCATCCCTCAATCCATGGAAAGTCACAATTCATGGGTAATTGATTCCGGTGCTTCTAACCATATCTCTGGTAATACCTCCTTGTTCTCAACTATTTCATTTCACCACAAACCTCATTTTATAACCCTTACAAATGGCGCTAAAACTTCCTCAAAGGGAGTTGGTCAAGTCATCCTATCTCCCTCCTTAAATATAAAATCTGTCCTTTTTGTCCCTAACTGTCCCTTTAATTTAATTTCCATAAGCCAGTTAATCAAAATGTTAAATTGTTCAGTAACCTTCGATAACAAATCTTGTTATACAGGAGCGTGGTTCGGGGAGACAGATTGGAGAAGGATAAGAAGCAGGAGAATTATATCATTTTGGATCTCGTCCACGAGTATCATGAGTATCATGTGTTGCAGCCCCTAGTCCTAAAATGTTTAAAAAAAAAATGTCCTGAACTTAGTGGTCTCCAGACCTTAGCATGTGAGTCATGTCAACTAAGCAAACATGTTAGATCTGCCTTTCCTAAAAAGTCTCAATCAAAAGGTAATTCTAGTTTTTCTATCATTCATTCTGATATTTGGGGATCTAGTCGTGTCTTATCTTTTGGTTTTAGGTATTTTGTTACTTTCATTGATGAATTTTCGAGATTTACTTGGGTTTACCTTATGAAAAATCGCTCTGAATTATTATCATGTTCACATCCTTTTTAAATGAAATTAAGAATCAACATCTACTTTTTCTGTCGTTTTGAGTTCACATGGTTTCTTGCATCAGTCCACTTATCCTCATACACCACAGCAAAATGGTATAGCAGAAAGGAAAAATAAACACTTGGTTGAAACTGCTCGTACCCTTTTGCTTAATACCCATATGTTAGTCCATCACTGGGGAGATGTCATCTTAACTGCATGTTTTCTTATTAATCGGATGTCATCATCCTCTCTCAATCATAAGGTCCCTTTCTCCATTCTGTTTCCAAATAATCCTCTTTTCCACATTTCTTTTCGTGTTTTTGGTTGTGTATGTTTTGTTCATGACATGTCTCCAAGGTTAGACAAGCTTTATGCTTACTCTCTCTCAAATGTGTCTTCTTGGGCTACTCCCGTCTTCAAAAAGAATATCGTTGTTACTCACCTGAAACGAAGAAATACTACATGTCTGCCCATGTCACGTTCTTTGAACGGACTCCTTACTTCTCTCCATCTGTTCAAGATGTTCATGTCATCCAATAGGGCCTCCCTATTCCAGTGGTTGAATACAATCTTTCCAATGTCTCTGTCAATCCTGGTCCAAGTCTTGATCAAAGTCCTCTTGAACCATCATCTCCACCTATTCATACCCCCCATACGGATAGTCTCGTTTTTCAAGAACATGGTGAATCCCCTACTACAGATGCTTCTCCCTCGTCCCTTGATACCACGACTCCTGAAGGTGATTCAGGCTGACCCATTGCTCTCAGAAAAGATACTCGTTCCACTCGAAACCCACATCTCATTTATAATTTTCTTAGCTATCACAGATTATCGTCTTCCTATTGTTCCCTTTTATCTTCAGTATCTTCTGTTGTTATTCCCAAAAATGTGAATGAAGCACTTGGTCATCCTGGATGACGACAAGCCATGATTGCAGAGATGCAGGCTCTTGAACACAGTCATACTTGGAAGCTCATATCCCTCTCACCAGGTAAGAAGGTTGTTGGTTGCCGATGGGTGCATGCAGTTAAAGTTGGTCCTGATGGTCAAGTTGATCGACTCAAAGCTCAATTAGTAGCAAAAGAATACACTCAGGTTTATGGTCTTGATTATTGTGACACTTTCTCTCCCGTAACCAAGATGACTACTATTTGTCTCTTCTTTGCAATGATAGTCATTCATCACTGGCCACTTCATCAATTGGATATCAAAAATGCCTTCCTCCATGGTGATCTTGAGGAAGAGGTTTACATGGAGTAACCTCTTGGGTTCGTTGCTCAAGGGGCGTCTGGTATGATATGCAAATTACATCGTTCTCTATATGGCCTCAAGCAATCACCACGTGTTTAGTTTGGAAAATTCAGCTTCATTGTTCAAAAATTTGGGCTAAGACGTAGTGAAGGAGACCATCCTGTCTTTTAATGTCATACATCTCTCTGGAAATGTGTTTACCTAATAGTATATGTTGATGATATAGTCATTACACGAAATGACACTGCTGAAATATCTCAACTAAAAGAGTACTTGTGTAGACATTTCCAAACTAAAGATCTTGGAAGCCTCAAATACTTCTTGGGCATTGAAGTAGCTCAATCAAAAGATGGAGTTGTAATCTCTCAAAGAAAGTATGCTCTTAATATATTACAAGAAATAGACATGATTGATTATAGACCAATAGAAAGTCTTATGGACCTAAATCAGAAACTAACGACAGAAGGTGAATTATTCTCTGATCTAGAGAGATATAAGAGGCTTGTTGGAAAGCTAATTTATCTTACTATTACGAAACCTGATCTATCTTTTGTAGTTGGAGTGAGTTAAGAGAGTAAAGAAAGTTAAAAAGAAAGTTATAATTCAGTGGGATGTCATTTTTCACTCTATGATCTCATATATATATACATAGGATTACAACATTTATAACAACTACCAACCATCAACTATTAACTACTAACCACTAACCACTAATCACTACCTAATAATAATTCTAATACTCCCCCTCAAGCTGGAGCATACAAATTGTATATGCCAAACTTGGAACAAATAAATTCAATTTGAGGTCCTCTTAAAGATTTTGTCAACACATCTGCAAGATGATCATTGGACCCGACAAATTCAGTGCAAATTTCTTTAGACAACAATTTTTCACGAATAAAATGACAATTAAGTTCTATATGTTTGGTCCTTTCATGAAATACAGGATTAGAGGCAACGTGGAGAGCTGCTTGATTGTCACAGTACATCTTCATCTGTTGGATCTCACAAAATTTTAGTTCTTGAAGGAATTGTTTCACCCACACTAGTTCACAAGTGAGAGATGCCATTGCTCTATATTCAGCTTCAACACTAGACCGGACCACTACATTTTGTTTCTTGCTTTTTCAAGA